GTGGTGCTGAGGTCTTAGGATACTAGGATCTGAATGGAAAAGGACTCCCTTTCACTGTAAGATCTTGTGAAAGTCACATGATTGCAATTTCCCCATGTGTACAGAAGGCATAGTTCTTAGCACATACACAAAACAGTTATTATGATCCCCATCCCTAGGGGCCTGGAGATGAACATACTGCATATGAAAGATGACTGGGGCAAGGCTGAGATTTGTTCACAATGGCTGGGTACCTGGGTCTCCGTATTCTTGTTCAGGGTGCCAGGGAGAACTGTTCTGATATCATGAACCCCTCTTTAAGCAGGACTGAGTTTCCACGCTGTGTTAGTGGCTGCTGATGTCACTGGGATGGGGATGTTTTGTCACATCTATTGGGGCCCTTTGCAGGAATCCTTGGTAGTCTTTGCTGTAGGTGGCAGCCAGACTGTTCTGAGTAGGAGCTGGGGTGTACCCCCCAGTAGGCAGTTTCAGGGTCACAGATGAAGTCCCCAGGATCAAAAATATCATAGGACACAATGCAAATCAGTGCCTGGCATGTTGCAAATATTCAGTGGTTGATAGCTATTTAATGAGAGTAAATGAAAAAGCAGATGGGGTTGACATTCCAGGCCCTCAGCATTCAACAGGATCAGAGAGCATTGTCCTTCACTAAGTTAGTTGGTCATATGGAGCCACAGGTGGCTTGTTTGTCTTGAATGAGAGACGAGAAGAGTAGGATGGTGTGAGGCTGGAATGGTGTGCAGATGCCTGGGTGGGAGGAACCAGACTGGGCTGGGTTGGGCATTGCGAGGCCAATCTGCTCTGGAGGTTGGGGGACAGGCTGCTTTAAGACCCTTGGAAATAACCTAAGTATATATCCTTGTGGTTATGTCTCCTTTCCCTTCATTGTGAGCACTTTCTTTCTCCACTTTGGAGACTGGGACCCCATTCTATAGTTCCTCAATGGTGCCTGAGTCCAGAAGTTTCCATTTTATAGCATCTGCCCCTTGAATACACAGACTTCAAATGTTTCTCTTGTGGGTCTCTTGTGGGTCTGCTTTTCTCTGTTTTCTTATTGATGTGGAGCTGGCTGTCCTCAACTTACCCTTGAATTTGCCAGGTTGTTTTTTTCCAGTAGGAGTTAACATAAAGGTATTTTTCTATTTTAAAAGTAAAGTGTTACTTTATATAAACACCTATACTTAACAAGGAGTTTGCATATGAATATATGGTGGTAATTTACTTATATAAAATAAACAAATATCAGGACCATAAATAGGAACAAATTGCTCAAATCCTCCAAAAAATGATTTTCTGGTTGTTTTCTGTTGTCTTTCCCAGACATGTGTACTTTTTTTTTAACCTAGTTGGAATTAAGTTGTGCATATAAGCTCTTGAGATAAGATCTTACTATGTTGTCCAGCCTGGCCCTAAACTCCTAGGCTCAAGTAATCCTTCTGCCTCAGCCTTGAGCAGCATGCTTGGTTCAATTTTTATACTTTGCTTTAAACAAATTTTTAAACACTATAATGTGAACTCTTAAATAAGAAAAACAAGCAACAAATATGAGTTCATAGTGTAGCAGAAAATGCCCCCACCTCCAGCCAGTGTACTTCAGTTGCCCAGGTGACAGTTCCTGTTGCAGTTCCAGTTGCTTCTGTTTCTTAAAAATGGCTGGTCACTATGATGCACATGGTAAAAACCAATCAAAGACAGTCAAGTATGCTACCTCCGCACCCCTCCTTTGCAGCCCCATAAAAACTTCCCTCCCTGGGTCTTCAGGGCCTGATATTTTGGAAATAATCTCAGTCAGTGTCCATCCAGATAAAATAAATCTGCCTCCAAGTCCTGGCTGAGGTTACAACAGATATAAGGCCATAATAATTAAAGGAGGGTGAAAGGAAAAATAAATCATAGAGAGAAAATATAGAGTCCGGAAGTTCTATGTCATAATTTAATATATGCTAAAGGAGGCCTCACAATTAAATTGGGGAAGGAGAGCTGGGCGAGTTTGAGACCAGCCTGGGCTACAAAGTAAGCTCAAGGCCAGCCTGAACTGTATAGTGAGACCATGTCTCCAAATAAATAAATGAATGAATGAATTCATCAACAAATGTCAGGAATAACCACTGTGAAGTTTTGGGAAAATAAAAAAGAGAGGCACTCAACCTAAGAATCAAAATAAATTCTAGGGCCGGGGATATAGCTCAGTAGCATAAGCACCTGCCTGGCAAGCACAAGGTCCTGAATTCAATTCCCAGTACCTAAAAAAATTTAAAAAAAAAAAAGAAATTCTAGACAGAATTACACTTTTTTTTTCTTTCTTTTTTTTTGAGACGGTCTGATCTTGCAGTTGAGGTTAAAACCTCACCTTATTTTTTAATCTTGATCTTGCTTATTCTCCTGATGATACTTTAAAACCATTTAATCAAGTTTAAGAAGAAGTCATTTGAGGATTGGGGTTAGAAATTACATCAATTTAAAAGTTAATTTCATTTAAAAAGCCAATATGGGTGTGCTCGTGGCTACCTATAATACCAGGTACTCAAGAGACTGAAGCAGGTGGATCATAAATTCAAGGCCACCCCAGGCAACTTAGGGATACCCTGTCTCAAAATAAAAAATAAAAAGGGCTTGAGGGTTAAGTGCCCTTGAATTTGACTTTCACTACTGGCAAAAATAAAATATCTTGTTGAACTTTCCTACTTTTCTTCATGGTGCTCAGAAACATTTCCCATTGTAATTAGCTCTCTGTACTGTTGTTGCTGATGTAGAATAGGATCCTTAAAAACAGTGGTTGCTGGCATGTAGGAATATTATTGCATTTTTTATCTGTTTGTTTCAATTAGCCACTTCGCTGGGCTCGTACTTCCTGTCCTTTGTCAGATAACTGCTGTGCGTTTTTGAGCTTATGCAGTCATTTCATTTGTACATAATTATCATTTTGCCTATTTCCAGTGTCTGTGTTTTCTGTTCCATTGGCCAGAATATTCAAGACGTTCAGGGATGATGATGATTGAAGGTGTCTTTATTTTGCTCTTTGCTTTAAAGAGACAGCTTCTGCCACCCCTTGACTATGCCCACTGGCATGTGTGATGAGATCTGTTTGCTCCTGACCAACATGGCTGGTATAACTCATAACAACCACAAAAAACGCTTTTCCAACCCTTTGCATCAGACACAAAACGCTGGGGGTTTGTTGTTTGAAAGTACTGCTCTTTGTAGAATCCCCAGATTGCCCCAAACTCTGAGCTGCAGTGCTGGTTCAGTTCCAGCGGAGCCATTGATCTCTGTCTTCTGAAGCCCAGCTTCTGGGCATCTTTTCCTCCCCTGCAGGATGTGACGCTCGCTTCTGCCAAACTTCCTCTCTGATAGAAGAGCTGTCACCGACACTGGACAGCAGCATGGCCGAGGCTGCCTGCAGCATGGGTCAGAGGAAGCACTGACATTTGCTGACAGGTGCCCTGCAGAGGAGCCCTGTGGACCCTTTCCCTACCTGTCACCAGTACCCCTGCCCTGCTCCCAGGCCTGTGGGACTTCCGGCACTGTACTCTGGGGTCTTCCCAGACCAGTGGGAAAACAGACGCGAGAAGGGATAAGAGAAGCAGGGTGAGGTCTCACTCACACTTTATGAGACATAGGGGTGGGAGCAGCAGCTGCTCAGGGCAGTCAGAGAAGGCATTCTGGAGGAGGTGACAGAGGTGTCATTTGAACTGCGACTTGGAGCAAGCATAAAAATTCTATGGAACAGTTGAGGGAGGAGGGCTTCAATTATTATTATTTCTATATACTTTATATTATTGTTGCTATTGAGAATAGGACCTTTAAAAACTGTATTCCCAATTTCCCTGAAAATAAGACCTAACTGGGAAATAATCAGCTTCGAAAACTACAGATGAAAAATGCCAGCCCCGATCACCCCATCACTGCCTTACCTGCCATCTCTGTTCTCTTGCTCAGTGGCTACTCTGTAAGGCGGTGAGGCATAATATACGACTCCTTCATTAAAGGTTACCATTCAGTGGTTTTGGTACATAGCACTCACACAGTTGTGCAACTATCATTGCAACCTAATCTTGTAATATTTTCATTGTCCTCACAAAAAGCCCTCTGCCCCTTAGTCATCACTTCTAAGACCCCTTCCCCTGCACCCCTAATCCACTTGTTGTCTAAGGATTTGCCTATTCTGGATGTTTCATATAAAGAGAGCAGCGCAACGTGTAGCCTTTGTGGCCTTGTTTGTCTTGGTATCATGTGTTCAGTCTGCTCCTGTTATAGCGTGTGCTGGTACTTCCATTGTTTCTAAGGCTCAATGATGTTCCTTTTTATGGATATACCACATTTTATTGGCCCCTTACTCAGCCCATGGTCATCTGGGTTGTTACCACTTTCAGGCGCTGTGAGCGATGCTACGGTGGGCATCTGTGTGCTGTGTGTTTTGCGTGTCCATACTTCTTGCGAGTGTGTGTATAGGAGAGGCACCCCCAGTTCGTGTGGAGACTGTGTCAAGCACTGGGGAACTTCTGGGCTGGTCTGCACAGTGCTTCCCTGCTGAAGTGTGAGGCTTGTCTTCAGCATGACAGTACTGGGAAGAAGGGCAAACCACAGAGTCTGAGTGCACAGCGTGTTTTCAGAGTAGCTGTTGTGAAAGAGTCTAAAGCTGTCTCCATCATTGTTGAGCCTTTGATGACTCCAGAAGGAGTTGTCTCTGCAGGCTCTGAAGGATACTACTGTGAATGCTGGTTCTGCCTTCTGCATTCTGCCTAGGAGGCAGTGGAATAGGGGAGGTGGCAGGCCAAACTCCAAGACCCAGGGAGTGAAGGAGGGACAGGTACAAGTTAATGCTGGTGGGGGCTTCTGGAAGAGAAGAGGTCTGGTAGAGTCTGAAGCCCAGTAGAGGCGAAGAAGGCAGGCGGGCAAGAGCCCGGGAGAGAAGGTGATGTTGGGGTCCATGTGGTAGGGGAGAGTTCCTGGAAAGCCATGGCAGGTAACTCTGGTCTGTTTTTGTCCTTTGACTGCAGACCTGGCCGAGTGCAAGCTGGTTTCCTTCCCCGTCGGCATCTACAAGGTCCTGCGGAATGTCTCAGACCAGATCCACCTCATCACCCTGGCTAACAACGAGCTCAAATCCCTCACCAGCAAGTTCATGACCACATTCAGTCAGCTCCGAGGTAGGTCCTGCTCAGCTCAGGCCAAGAGGGTGTGGCTCTGTCATCCGTAGGAAATGTCACCAGTATCAGTTCTTTTGTTGGTCACCTGGGCTCATGAAGTCATTCTCAGGGGTAGGCTTTGAAGATGGATCTGTGTCCTTCGTGCAGCCTGGAAACCTTTCTGTCAGCTTCTGCCTCCAGCTGGCTGTGAATCTGACCAAGACCGTATATGGTCCTGGATTGCTTCTCTTGTCTGAACAGGCCAGCAGGGTGTTTGGGTCCTGAAGCCCATGAATAGTTAACTTCTGGTAGCCTTGGATGAACCCCTTCTCACCTTCGGCCTAGAGTTGTTCTCCTGTGCTTCTTTCTCAGCTTAGGAGTGAACCATGCCAAGAACGCTGGCATTTTATCTCTGGGCACACACACAGCAGGTGGATGTGGGTGTCTGGCGCAGGCATAGGCAAGAGGTCAGCAGGTGGGCATCGTGGAGTCTATTGAAATGGTTCCTCTAGACGGACAAGCAGTACCTGCTCCCTTCTCTACACAGCAGTCCCTTCATTCATGTGCCACCCAGGAGGGAGCTGCAGCCTGGGCAGTTCTGTATGTTTTCAAACTGATAGGACAGGAGAAATGCAGAGGGCACAGGAAGTAGCAGAGGTATTTTCCCCCCCTTTGGCATTTCCTATCTGATAGGGGCAGAAAGAAGGCCTAAGATGCTGTTTAGAGAAACAAATCACAAAATGCTGATGGTGTGTGAGCCGTCTGAGCAAGCCTATGGCAGACAGCTGATTTTAGGCTGGGCATGAGTTTTAGTTACTTTCTTCATCATTAGGACAGAATACCTGACACAATTTAAGGAAGGAGAGGTTTGTTTTGGCTCACAGTTTGTAGACGTTTCAGTCCATAGTAGGTTGGCTCCAAGGCAGGGCAGCATGGCAGAGGGTTATGGAGAGGAGAAAGAGCTTATGGTGTGGCAGGCAGGAAGCAGAGAGATCAAGGGAGGAGGAGGGAGATAGACCCTTCCAGGCCGTGCCCAGTGATCCACCTCCTCCCACCAGGCTTCACCTCCCAATATCACATTTAGCTATAAACTCAGTGGACTAACCCACTCACCTGTGATCCAGTCACCTCCCCAGAGCCCCACCTATAGAGTGCTTGATGCTTTGAGGGGACATCTAGACATAAACCATAACAGTGGGCTTCCTTAAAGAGACCTGTGTGTAGACCAGTACCCAGATAGGAGAAGAAGGCCTGAATTGGCAAGGAAGGAGGGAGCTTGTATAGTGGCGCAGGAAGGGGCTCCAGCATGGCCTGGAAAGGCCTCCACCCAGGTGGCGCACAGAAGGACAAGGGGGAGGGACAGGTATGAGTGATCATTTCTGAGTGATACTTATAAAGCTTTTCCTCTTTGTGTCTGAAAAACTGAAGTCCTATCACTTGGGAAGGTTGGGGATGAAGTTTGTTTCCCCAGAGGCACCTATGGGTGCTCTAGCCTGGCCTCCTCTCTTCTTTCCTTTCCTGGCAGCTGCTTCTTTGCACAGGTGAGGTGAGCCCCATAGCAGCAAGCTCCTTGGACCAGTAGCTCACAGCCCTGGCTAACAGTGGTATCGTCTGAGGAGCTTTTCTACAAGTGCTATTGTCTTGACTCTACCCCAAGCTCAGATGAAACAGAACATCTGTGTGTGGTCCTGGGCCTACGCATTTGTCAGTAGCTGCACCAGTCATTCTAAAGTACTGGCAACCAAGGCTGGGAACTAAAGATCAGAGGTTATAAACACAAATGCCTAGGAGACTAGCATGTAAGTAATGAGTGACATTGGGCCTACGCAGGGGGGTGGCAGTTGTGGTAAACTAGTACATGCCCTGCTCAGCTTCTGCCAGGTGTGCCATAAGAGAAAATGAACCAGTGTTGGCTGCTCTTCTGATTATTTAATAGAAGGTGGAAATGAGCAAGTTTTAATGTAATGCGAAAGTCAATAAAACACATTTGCAAAATAGATTTACCCCATGGGCCACTAATTGAGAGAATCTTCTATAAAATGTTAACATTGCCCCTCCCATCACATTACATGGATGGAGAGGGATGGTCAGGGAGGGAAGGACTTGTCCAGGGTCTCAGAGCAGCACATCTGGGGCCTGGACCCAGGTTCCTATCATGAAGACCAGGACAAGGCAGCTTGTCTAGACCCTCTGTGTCTGCTCAAGGGTCCTCAAGTGCTGTATGCAGCAAACTGGGATTGGACGTTTGCTTTCCAGAGAAGAGTAAGATTGAAAATGGATGCCAGGTGTGGTGGCGCATGCCTGTAATCCCAGCACTTAGGAGTCTGAGGCAGGAGGATCATTGCAAGTTCAAGACCATCCTGGGCTACAAAGTGAGCTCAAGGCCAGCCTGAACTGCATCGTGAGACCCTGTCTCAAAAAGACAAAAAGAAGAAAGAAAAAATGAAATGAATGGTAGGGCTTATAAGAGGTCCCCAGGAAGGGCAGTCAGACAGAGGCTTTGCTTGGGTCTTGGCTTTCTCCCGTTAGACCATCCCTTGTGCAATTGTGTCTTCCAGATCTGTGTCCAGAGGCAGGGAAACAAGGCCAGCAAGAGATGAGCATGGTGGTGCATGCCTATAACCCCAGCACTCTTGAGACACTGAGGCAGGAACATCACAAACTTGAACCCAGCCTGGGCAATTTAGCAACTTAGATCATCTCACAAAATAAAAAACAAAACAAAACAAAACAAAAGGGCTGGGGATGTAGCTCAGTGTGGAGTTCAATTCCCCGTAGAAGACAAGGAGAGGGGATGGCCAATAAACCAGGGTCTGTCCCTGAAGGAGCCCAGGTTTGTAGAACAGACCCATCCGTACCATTGAGGACTGGGATACTGGTGTGGACAAATTGCTGTGAGGACTCAGACAGAGGAATTAGTGCTTCCCAAGAGTGGCGTGGTTGGGGGTGAAAATAGAGGCAAGTACTTCTAAAGGACTTGATAATGGGTAGTACCTTGTGGAATGAGTGAGTAAGCTCTTGCCAGAGGCCTGGCAGAGGGCAAAGAAATGCACTTGAGAGCTGGTTTGCAGAGTTGTATTTATTACGATGCCTCCCAGTCAGAAATCTGTTGGATGATGCTGTTTGAACTCCTTCCTGCTGTTCCATTGCCCTTGGGGTTATAAATGGAAGGCCAATGTACTTGCTAGTTGGATTTCACACAGTAGATTGAGGGCAGGGGTGGCCTGGACAGGAGGTGCTGGAACTGAGCACTCCATCTGGCTCTTAGATGGCTCTAGACCCAGGCCATCTATTGTGATTTCTCTTGCAACAGAAAATATTTTCTTTTATGTGTGAAGACAAGGCTCTACTCTGTCCTCTTCTGGGTTATTTATTTGTTTGCAATATTAGGGATTGAAACTAGGGCCTTGTACATGCTGCGCAAGTGCTCACTGCTGAGCTGTAACCTCAGGCTTTAATTTTTTTTTTTTTAAACTTTGATTATGGTTTAAATCTAGTTGTTTTCCCAAAGCCTCCTGTGCACCTAGATGGGGCTTTTGGAAAGTGATTGGATCATGGAGACATTATACTTACCAGTGAATTAGTCCACTGATACCAATGCAGTTTATCTTGTACCACTAAGGAATTAGTTCTTTGGGATTTAGTTCACAATAGTCAGCCATCCATCTGGACACTCAGAAGTCTCTGCAGTGATTGTAACCAAGGGGCCTAGCTATATTTTGAAATGGTGGCAGACCTCGGCATCACCAATGTGGTGCTGGGTTTACAGGCATGCCGAATGGAAGAGTTGTGAGGTGAGGCTTCTACCCAGATTTGATTTTATTTTATTTCTACCCAGATTTTAGCAGAAGGTCTGGGAGGCTAGGCAGTGTGTCCCTGAAAGGGTAGTGTGTGAAGCTGTGAGAGTCAAGCTGAAAGTGCATTGGAGACCCCAGGAAGCTGGAAGAGCCAAGAATCTGGAATAGCTGAAGAAAGCTGCAAGGACTAAGCAAAACCAGTCCAAGACAGAAGCTGTGGGAGCTACAACCATTGGCAGTGCCATAGGGACACAGTTGCCCAAGGCCTTTGGAATTCACAGCTCACCATAGCTTGCCCTGGATGCTGGACATGGAACTATGGGATTTAATGTTTGCCCTATTGGGTTTAGGTCTTGCTTTGGTTGTTTCTTTCTTTCATAGGGAATTTGTACCTGTACATGGTATATCTTGCTGCTTCTTTTTTTCCCATTCCCATCCCCTCCTTTCAGTCCTTCCATTTCTTTCTCTCTCCCTCTTCTTCTCTTTCAGGATACATTGTAGTTGGCAGCGTTGAACGTTCTTTTTTATTTTTACAGAGGCTCACAGCTAAGAGTTTGCCTTAAATTTTAGAGGAAACTTTGGACTTGGACTTTGCAGCAGTGCTGGAACTGTTAAGACTTGAGCAGCTCTTAGAGATGGATAAATGCCTTTTGCAGAAAGAGATGGGCGTGAGTCTTTTAGGGGCCAGGGGCAGTATGTTATGGTTTATATCTAGTTGTCCCCCAAAGCCTCACGCATTCATAGGTGGGACTTTTGAGAGGTGAATTGATCATGGGGACATGACACTCATCCGTGAATTAGTCCACCGATGAGTTTATGGCCAAATATGCTTTTAGAAGTTGGGTAAATGTAGCTTTAGAAGGTAGCTAAATGTGCTTTCATCAGAAGAGGTGGGTCACTGAGGGTGTGGCCTGGAAGAGCATACCTCCCTCCCTCGCTCCTCTCTTCACTCTGTGCCTCCTGGATGCCATGCTGTGAGCAGCTATTCCTCCACCATGCCCTTGGGCCATGCTGTCCTGCCTTGGAGCCAGTTTACTGTAGGCTAAAATGTGTTCCAAACTAAATCTCTCTGCTTTTAAGTTGTAGGTGTTGGGTATTTTGTCCCAGTGATGATGAAAGTGACTAAGATACTTTGAGACAGGATATTACTAAGTTGCCTAGGCTGGCCTCAAACTTGGAACCCTTCTGCCTCAGCCTCTTGAGCAGCTAGGGTAACAGATTTCT